TTTTTTTTCAGAATATACCATCTTCTCGAGCAGCGAGGCAAAACTTTTGAAGAATAATCAAGCTACAGCTGGCATAAGAAGGATACACAATGAGAAATTGCCGTACCACAAGAGGCGAGAGACTTTTATTGGAGGAGTTCCAAGTACTCTTTGGTTTAAGTTATATCATCATTCAATGTTTACAATTCAAGATACATCTTAGTGTTTAAACGCTATTATTCATTTTTTTGTAGAAACATTTCATATGGGATGACATTACGGCTATGCTGAAAGTAGCCTGGGAGAAGATATGCGCCGATCGATACGCTGACTTCACCTATAGGATGAGAAGAAGCGGTAAGAAACAACGGTGCGTGTCTCAGGAGATATGGGAGAGCTGGCAAAAGGCTTGGGAGGATCCTGCATTCAAGAGAAAGCGGGAGATGTTTGCACAAAACAGGCGCAGTGAGACTGGCGGGGATGGAGCAGGACCTTCGCGACACACAGGCGGATCTATATCTGCTATAGAGACAGCTCGATTATTAGTAAGTGAACTCGATTATTAGTGAGTCAACTAGTCACAGTATATGAAACTGATGTTTAATGAAAGGACACTATATTAATATATCATGTATAAAAATTCATTACTGGCTGAAAAATTAGGTCGTGAGCCCACACCGATTGAGGTGTTTACATACACTCATACTAAGGACCACGATCTTAATACGTTTGTCGATAGACGTGCGGTGAGCATAGATGTAAGTAACAATGAAGAATATTTACATTTACTCTCTAGTCGTTGCAAAGATGTACAAAGTTCAATATAATAAAGCTTGCAACTGCATTGATAATTAATTTTTTGTTTTCAGGAGAACTATACTACAGCTCGGGAGCGTCTATTGGTTACTTTCCTTCAGACCGATGAATCCGAAGCCTGAGTCAAGAATGACGAGGTAGCGCTTTTCTCGGGCTGTAGGGGGCGAGAAGAAGAGAAGGTATAACGGCATCGGGTCCTCAGCATCAACAGTTTACAGTTGCTCCAGCAGCTCACGCTTCTAACAGCCAGCGCAGCACCGCAGACGAGCACACTGCTCGCACTAGTGATGAAGGATATACAAGGCTCCAGCTTGCTGATCAGCGAGACAGATTGCAGAGCTTAGAGAAGCATGTGATGCGGCTGTCGCAGTGAGCATCGTGCTTGTATTCTTCCTATGATCCTGCCGCCTGCTACAGACCAACAATTGACGTCTCAGCAGCAGCCACTATCGGCTCCTGATCCGAATGCCTCGACGATCCTTGGGTCACCCCTCCTGGCGCTAACTCATACATCACATCCAGCAGGTACTCCTCCCGGGGATCCGACATCGGGAGATCCGACATCGGATCCTGCAGATGAGCAGCAGCATATATAGATTTGATTTTGGACCTTTTTATTTTTTCATTTGTATTTTCATATTTTAATTTGTTCAGAATAATAAAAATTACATTTTTATACTGTTCTTGAATTGCATGTGTGATATATATGCATTTATGTCAATTTTCACAGGTGCAGAAAAATTGTGGTTTCAAAATAATATTTTATTTTTTTTATTTTTTTTTCCATTTTTGCGACCGATTTGCGACCGATTTGATACCAAAAATAACAATTTTGAATTTGCAATTTGCGACCGATTTGCGACCTCTTCCAAAAACCTGCGACCGATATTCTGCGACCAAATTTGCGACTGAATTTTCAATTAAACCACGACCAAAAATTGCGACCGATTATTCAATTTTGCGACTGATTGTATCGGTCTCTAATTTGCGACCGATGAGACAATCGGTCGCAAAATTTTTTTGCGACCAGTATTTTTGCGACCGACATACGTGGGTCGCAAATCGGTCGCTAAGGGAAATTAGCGACCGATATTTGCCATTTTGCGACCGATTGGTTGGTCGCAAAATGGCGTTTTTTTTGTAGTGACCCTTACCTTTTTTTGTCTTTTGTATCTTGTGTTTCCATTCTCTCTCTCTCCTTTCAATTTTTTCTGGCTCTTTTTCTCACTCAATTTCAGTTTCTTCTAACTCTTCCTTTTTTTTTTCTGTAGTTTAAAATTTTAACTTCTTAACTTTGGGTAGAGTTCTAATATAGTTCAAATTCTAAAAGTCCCCATTGTAATTGTAAATACAACTTGTATTTTGTATTAGCATAACTGAGTTTATATAAAGCAGTATGAAGACTATCAAATCTAGGTTGTTACAGAATATAAGGGTTGTTACATAAAATGAAGAGAGTATATTTAAAATATACTTGAAGGATATTCAAACTGCAGATAATGTTAGACGCCCCCGCAATTCAAACCCGGAAAGGGTTGAATTGTAAGAAACTGAGTGAGCTATTGATGGCGGGATTGTGACAATCCTTTCATCAAAATATCAGTTAGCTGATCCTTTCCAGAGATATAGCGTACATCGAGAAGGCCCTTGGCTACCGTATCACGAATGAAATAATATTCAACTTCGATATGTTTCATACAATTATGAAAGATACGATTCGCTATAACGTAAGTAGCCCCTCACAACAAAGGATGGGAGGCTTACAAGGGGCCATTGAAATTTCTTGCAATAAAGACAACAACCAAGTAACTTTAGGCAGCAAGACGAATGACTCTATACTCAGCCTCAACATAGTTATGAGCAACCGTATGTTGTTTTCAAGAGGCCCAAGAAATGTGATTTGCACAAAAAAAGATAGCAAAACCTGTCACTGACTTTTCGATCAGTTTTTTGACAAGCCCAATTTGAATCTATATAAACATGAAGTTGAGATGTTTGAGAGCAACGAAGAAGGAGACAATGGTGCTGTGTTGCTTTGAGATAACGCAATATTCATTTAAGAGTAGCCCAATTAGTTGTTGTGGGAGAGAGGGGAAATTGAGAAATGTGACGAAAAGAAAAGGAAATATCTGGGCAGGTTAGCATGAGGTATTGCAACACCACCCCCCCCCCCCCCCAACTAAAGCCGATTACAAAGATGGATCAGTATGGTCATTACCCCCCCCCCCCCCCCCAACTAAAGCACGATACAAAGATGGATCAGTAGCTGGTTCATTACCCTGAAGTTGTAATTTGTCCATGGGTACAACAGGTATAGAAATACCATTACAAGAGGCCATATGAGCTTTTTGTATCAACTCCCTAATATACTTTCCTTGAGATAAATAGAGACCATCAAGTTTGTGATTAACAACAATGCCTAAGAAAAAATCTGGAGCTCAGCTCCAAGAGAAACAATGAGTTGTTGATGACATTTATCATTATTTCTAGTTATGATTAAATCATCAATATAAACCAAGCAAAACATACAAACATCATCTTTATTGTAATATAGCAAAGAAGAATCTGTAGCCGAAACTGCGAAACCACGATTAATCAAAACTGAAATCAATTTCTTATACCATTGTCGAGGGGCCTATTGTAAACCATATAAAGATCTTTTCAATAAACACACAAAATCAAGTCTATCTTTATCAATAAAGCCAGGAGGCTGCTTCATATAAACTGGGGTATCAATATCACCATGTAAAAAGGCATTTGAGATGTCTAGTTGACGAAGGTTCCAAGAGTTAGAAACCGCAATAGAAAAAATTAATCTGATAGTCCCTGGCCTTACAACAGGTGAAAGGTTTCATAGAAATCAACACGAGGTTATTGTGTGTAACCTTTAGCCACAACACGAGCTTTGCATTTATTAATAGAGCCATTGGGCTTTTGTTTTAATTTTGAATATCCATTTACGCCAATTACCGAGTGACTAAATCCCAAGTGCCTCTCTTCATTAATGCATTAATCTTAAGTCCCATAGCTTGATGCTATTCTTTATGAACTAGTGCCTTTAAATAGCACGTGGGAACCTCTAGGAGAGTTGTATGGACCAAAAAAACTTTAGGCTTTAAAGAATTAGTTGTGCTCTAGTAAATATGGTGCGAGTCTGAACTAGTAAGGTAGGCATATCATATGATGGAACCAAGTCTAACATGGGAGAAACAACAGGTGATGAGGGTTATGGTGAATAAGGGTCGACAGGTGAGGCTAGCGTTATTGAGCAGTGGTGGGGATTATAGGTGGACTGTATATGGGGCTTTATGAGCAAGTTCTATTAGGTGATGTACTTATGTATACTGGCAGGTGGAATGAGAGGCGCATGGACTAAAGGAGGTACCTAATATTCCTACATCATTGTTAATTTTTTGTGCTGGTGCGAGACTAGAAGGTGTTGGGACAATGGACTACGAAGTTGGAACAACATCATGCACAAATGGAAATATCTGCTCAAAACATGGCATGAGATAAAGATCTTTTTATTTGATAAATCAAGACATATAACCTTTATGAATTTTGGAATAACCTAGAAAGACACAATCAGCAAAATGAGCATCCAATTTATATTTGGAGTATGGTTGGAACTAAGGATAATAAAGTGATCCAGAAACCCAAAGGTCATTATAGTTTGGTGCTACTTTCAATAGGACCTCACATGGGGTAGAGGGCTTTGTGTATATAGATGGAACACGGTTAATAGTATAGACTACAGTGTCAAAGGCATAAGTCCAATATTGTTGGGGTACATTAGCATGGTGCAATAAAGCTCTTCCTATTTCTACAATTTGCCTATGTTTCCATTAGCACACCCATTTTGCTCAGGTGTATAAGGACAATATAGCCGTTTTGTTATACCTTAGTCTTGAAGGTGTTTAGTTAAGGCTTAAAATTCCACAACCCAATCTGACTGAAAATTTTTAATTGGTAATGAAAAATATTTTTCCATTAATTTCTAAAATTGAATAAAAATAGATAGAACATACGATTTACATTTTAGAAAATCAATTCGTGTATAATGACTAAAACGATCATAGAATAACACATAATAAAGATAATCTGACGAAACTGGTGATAAAACCTAGATTAATTCTAAAGGTTGTGTAACATGATATTGAAAAACTTGAAAAGGCAATTTTTGTGCTTTACCAAGATAGCAAGCATGACAAGGAACATTATTATTTTTATTAGGTACAGATAAATAATTGGAAGATAAAACTTGTGAAATTGCACAGTTATTAAAATGACCTAAACGGTCATGCCAAACTTTGAATTCCACGGAATTGGCTTGTGGAGACATGGGAGGATCCAGTGGGAGAGGAAGGGACTACAACCCATCTTCACTCTGGCCATGGTAAAGAACTTGACTTGTGCAAATATCCTTTATAAGAAAATAATCAGAAAAAATTCAATAGAAACATTATTATTAGTGGTGAAGACATGAACAGAAAGCAATCGTTTATGAATTTCCGGAGCTAACAAAATATTATCAAATTTGAAAATTAACATCATTGACAAACATAAGCGAGTGACCAGAATTAGTGATTGAAATATTTTTACCATTGCTAATTGTCACATTGTTAGTGTCCTGTAAAGGCAAAGGATGAGAAATATTTCCATTAGCGGTTGTGATATGATAATTTGCTGTCGAGTCCACCGTTCACATTTGAGGTAAAAAGGTAGTATAATAGGCTTAAGGACCACGGGTTAAGGTGTAGAGTGTTGTAGTCCCATGCAGAAGGAGGCACAGTTGCAATTTAAGCTGTTGGTGATACGGCAGCCAATAGAGAATCAGATTCATTTTTTGGTTGAGTTTCTTCGCTCAATAAAAGGGCATGGAATTCATCAAAATTGATTGAAGCATTTCTGGATTCAATTGCCCTTGTAAAAGGATGATATTCAAAACCTAATCCTTCCAAAATATCATTAATTAAATAATCTTCATTCACGAAAGCCTGACGAACAGACAACTGATCAAAAATAGGTTTGGCATGCCTCATATAAGAGTCGATTGACTGAAATCCTTTTTTTAAGAATATAGTCTCTAAGTTTACCCATGCATCTTTGCTGTAGGCGAGCCGATCACTTGCAGCACTAATTTCTCAAAAATTGAGGCAAATAACCAGGTGAGAACTAATTGATCTTGACAATACCAACATTGATAATAAGGATTAAGTTGCCCATCATTCAACATTGGTGTCGGAGCTGTAGAAGAAGAAGAGATATGAGCAGCCAGATTATACCCATTTAACAAAGGAAGAATCTTACCTTTCCAAAGGAGGTATTTTATTAAATTGAGTTTAGCAAATAATAATTAAGAAACATTTGGGATTGGAGAAGCAGAGGTAAGAGGTGAGGGAGTGGGAGACTCCATTTGAAGGCTTATGATGGCTCTGATACCATGTAATTGTGAATACAACTTGTATTTTGTATTAGCATAATTGAGTTATATACAGCAGTATGAAGGCTATCAAATCTAGGCTGTTACAAAATATAAGGGTTGTTACATAAATTCAAGAGAATATATTTAAAAGATATTTGAAGGATATTCAAACTGCAGATACTATTACAACCACCATCCAATCTGATATGTCAAAAACACCTATTTTATGGAGGCATTCAATCATGCTAGGTAACTCTAATAGTTCGATACATGTCTTAAAATCTCAAAATTACTCAACTTGCTATTTTCTTCCAGCAATGTAACCAACTTGTGACAATTAATTATGATATTTTTTTTTTTTTAGCTGAATAATTTGACAGAGGCTAATGGAGAACTTTGCCATATTGTTGTAGAAGTCGATGTTTCTTTCCATCAAATATGGCAATGCGTAAGAAACTCGAATGTTAGATGTACTATTACAAGCACAATCAATATTGCAAAGCAACAAAGTTACCTTTTATAGATTCTTAAATTATATAGAGAAATTACTAAATGAATAGAAAATTTTTTCTTTTATTATATATTTTGTTCACTGAAGTCAGCGTGCCAAAATTGTTCCTATTTGTTAGCTTTTTTTTCCACGTTATTGTGGGTGTAAATCACTCGTTATTCAATATCCAATGAGGTGCACATTTATTATCAAAAAGGTAACTTTGAGGGACATTGATAGGTCTCTGCAAACTTAAAGATACTAAAAAGTTAAATGAGTTAACGTTGGAGGAAAATTTATAGATTAGGAGAAATTCACTAAAATCATTTTACATGAGGCATTACAAAAAGTAATTTTTACATCATTGAGCAGTGGTCGATGATGTTCAATAGTTGCTATAACTTTTAAATTCTTTACAACAAAAACAGATCCCTCAATCAACATGTGGTTAAACCTTTTTATTTGACTTTTTCCTAATTGTTGCATGAATTAAATTTTGTTGTAATTAAAGAAAAATTAGTCATTAAATAAATAAATAAAACTTGTAAAGGATAAACTAAAACAAAATAAAATGAAACACAATCTTCTCATCAATTAAAATCATACTCAAAATAATCAATTCTCCATTCTTTTCAGAGTAATTGATTCTCATATCCTAATTTTTATTAATGAATCGTCTCTGCTAGTGTTAAGCTCATCAAACAAAGAATATTTCTTACTAATTTAACACGCAAATGAAAAAAAAAATAAAAAAAAAGTAGATGAACAAATGGATACTATATTGAATAAAATACCAAAAAACTAAATGTTACATTTATGAAATTTAACATAAACTAAAGAGAGAAAATCTAAAGAATTAATATAAATGTATTAATACTAATTATTTAAAGAAAGGATTAAACAAAAGGATTTATATAAAATAATGTCATTAATTTTGCAAAAAATAAATAATAAATAATATAAATATAATATAAATATACTAATTAAGAGATTAAAGGATTATATGTTTGTTGAAAGTAAAAGTGAAATTAGATGTTTGTGAGTTGGAAGAATGGCAAACTTTTTTTTTTTTTTTTTAAAGTTTGAGTGAGTGAAGAATGGCAAACTTTTTTTTTTTTTTTTTTAAAGTGCTATGAACGTTAAAGTTGAAATTAGTTTTTTTTTTTTTTTTTAAAGTTTGAACGTAAAAGTGAAATTAGATGTTTGAAAGTAAAATCTAACTTCTTTTATTTTTAAAGCATGATAACTAAAATTCATGAAAATAGGAGATGGAAAATTAATTTTATAAAGATAACTTATTAAAACAAACAAATTAAAGCTCAATTATTATTATAAAATATAATATATTTTTATTTAAGTATAATAAATAAAACTATTAAAAAGGGAAAATAGAAAGATAGCAATTTAATAAAACTAATTTTATTATTTTATTATCAAAACTTACCTATTGTTGTTAAAATTAATTTATTTTGTTATTAAAGTATAATAAATAAAATAATTACAAAAGAAATTTTAGAAAAGTCACCTAATAAATAGTCGATAAAGTAAAAGGAAGAAACCTTAGAATTCATATATATATAAAAAATTACAAAATTTATTATATAATCACTAAAATTAATATTAATTAGATAGAAAAATTACTTAATAATATTTCATTTTTTAACTCTAAAACTACCAAAAAAAACTATAAAAACTACCAAAAAGAGAAAAGCAAATATTAATATAGGAGCTCTACATAGTGATATAAAAAACTATAAAATTAATATTGGTGAAAAAAAACTCAAACAACTTAAAAACAAAAAAATAATTACAACATTTATTACATAACAACTAAAATCGTTATTAGTGAAATATAAAAGTTATTTAATATCATGGTTTTGAAAATCAGATCATGTTGACCATATTTTTATAGTTTTATATTTATTTATTGTACAGCTCAGCCAAGTAAAGTTAAGCTAAACACTCATTGGAACCGAGTATATAGCTTTTGTATGTAACTGATTATTCACTTTTGCTCATTATTCAAAACACAAGTATTTTTCAATTTGTCTTCTTCTCTGAGATAATTCAGGCTTGTTCATAGTATCAGAGCCCATGGTTATGAGTTCGTTGCTTCATTGTTAGCCAAATTTTTTAGTCTTTTTCTTGATTAATTCTATAATCAAGTGATTGGATCCAATAGTTTCCTTATTTCTTGAAAGATTTGTTGATTTGGTATATCTCTCTTGAGAATTTGGGAGATTTCTTTTGGAGGTTTGGGTTTTTGTCCAAGATTTGAGATTTTCTTTCTTCTTCCACTGATTTAGTTTTACAACTTGATAACTTGCAATTAAATGATGGGAGACTTGCATACACCTAATTTAGGGATTAATTCAACTACAGAAGGTTTTGTAGGTACAAACCATAATTCTCACAATACTTATGGTGATCTGCTTTATCTTCAAAAATTCTAATAATCCAAGTATGGTACTAGTTTCTTCTTTGGTCATAACTATAGGACCTAAAGTCATGCTATGATGATTGCGTTAGGGGCTAAATGTAAACTGAGATTTATTGAAGGAAAAATTGAGGTTCCTCGCATGGAATCAATAGTTTTGAACAATGGAAAAGATGTGACTTTATGGTCACATATTGGATCTTGAACTCAATTTCTAAAGATCTTGTAAAGGCTTTCATGTATGCAACCAATTCTAAGGAACTGTGGGATGAATTGGCTGAACGATTTGAGGAAAGTAATGGCCCTGTGATCTATCAGTTACAACATAACATAGCTTCTATTTCATAAGCTAATGCTTCTGTATCTGCATACTACACAAAGCTTAAGAAGTTGTGGGGTGAATTGAACAACATAGACCATATTCCTATTTGTACTTGTGGTACACCTGCACATTTTGCAGCTATCTATAGTAGGGATAGATAAATGCATTCTTAATGGGGTTAAATGATAATTATGACCAATTGAGAAATCATATTCTCATGTTGCGTCTACTTCGAAGGGTTAAGAATGCATATTTAATGGTTTTGAGGGTAAAGTCTCAGAGGATAGTCACTTCTAGCTTGACAGATTAGAAAATTCAAAAGGTCTTTGATTAAGGTTGTAATGGGGTTTTAGGGTTATAATTTAGCTAAACAAAGAAAAAAGAATAAAATAATAGATAAAAAGTACAACGAATGCATAATCTCAAGATTTTCATTACATCAAAATATATATTTTTATTTTTAAAGGAAGACTAACTTGAAGTTCTTCACTAGCTAAAAATTAGAGATACTTTGGCAAGGTCTTTTCATAATACTTTGATCATTTCTTCTTTGCTTCAATTCCCCACACTTGAATTTTTGATTGATTGCTTTTTTATGGGGTGTTTCTCTTTGAGTTTCCTAATTGCTCCACTTACTAGTATTAATGAAATTTTCTCCCTTTTATTCTCTTGCTATGTTTTAATAAAATCAAATCATTCAATTATATATTAATAAGGGTAAATAAGAAAATTTTTTTGTTACAGGCTTCAAATTGATTGCAAAGGTCCTAATTCAACTTAGGGTGGCCTAGGCTAAAATATGAAGTTCAACAAAAAAAAAAAAAAAAAAAGGTCAACAAAAAAAAAAAAAAAAAAGTTAAATCAGCTTCTTTCTAATGTGAGCATATTAAAATTTTGCCATGTGAGCATTTAAAAATTTTGCCTCAAAGACATTCTAATTTATTCTAGGAATACCAAGGTTAAATAAATTTTGATTAAAACATACCTATATACCATAAAATTCACAACAATTGGTGTTCATGATCTTTAAAAAATGGTTACATTAAGAAATCAGGTTAAGGTCAAAATTTAAATTCAAGCTTAAACATACTACATTAGAAAAACAACTAAATTTATTACAAGTTACTAAATTATGATAATTTTCAAGCTTCCTCACAATTATTCCAACCATATTAAGCTAATGAAACAAATAAAACTAAAATTTCCGTTCCCCCAATCTAATCTAGTACGTTGTCCCCAATGTGTGCAAAAGTAAAACCACTTCCCCAAGCTTATTATATATTATTAAAACAAGGTGCAAAAATAAAAAGAGTTGAGAACATCTTACCACCATTGTATTGAAAAACACAATAATATTCATAGAAAAGATTGGATGGGAGCCGGGCTAGATTCAAAAAGTAGAAGAAACTACGAAAAAGAAAAACGAACAAAATATCCCACATACTAAAAATAAACTAGAACAATGTTCAAAACAAAATAAAACAACAGGAGTTGTAAATAACAAAAATAAAAATAAAATAAAGAAACATAAAGCATTTTCACTTTGCAGGTGGTGGAGGAGATTAGAGAGAGTTGGAGAGGATGTTTGAGGAGGTATAGTCGGTAGTTAAGAGAAGGGAAGACTTAGGGTTGGATTTATGCGCGATTTCCAAAGTCAACTCGCCCTTGTAAAAATTGAATTTGTAGTATGGCATGAGGGTGCTGGGTAGCATGTCCTGGGGGTGTTGGGTAGCACAGCCTGGGCGTGCTATGCACTGACTCTCTGAAGAAAATT